CCCCCCCCCCCCCCCGCCCTTTTTTTTGGCACCTTGGCCATGCAGAACAAAATTTAGAAGTGCTAAAATAAAGATTTTCTGAGATTTTCTGATCCATTTTGTAATCAAGCATCTGAAATTGAGGTGACTATCCAAACAAAACATGAACTCAAAGTTTTGAGATACATTCATCTCTGTATATAAGGAAGCTGAAAAGGTCCTAACACTAACCGCGTTACACAGCATGCACTAGAGCGTCTTCATCCATGAGTAATGCAAAGGAAATGGTTGGTTTCACTCTCCAGAGGAGGAGGAGGGAGCCTGTTAATCAGCCTCTTAATATTTCTGATGCTACCACTTTCATCTTTCTAAAATCATGATGACACCATCATTTCCCTAAGTGCCACTGCACACAGTGAGCTAAAGGACACAATGTGAATTTTCTTGAGTTTGGACGAGAAGACTACAATAATCATTTGTGTTATTAACATCACTTGTATATCAATTTTAATGTAACAATCACTTTCAGCAGATTGTATCCTATTTTTTGTGCAGGTATGATTCTTGTATATGTAATTAGAAATGTGAAGTGTGAATTTATTTATAATTCTAAATGTGCTAATGAGAGTCATCACCGATGTTCCAGAAATCTAATAGCTTAGTGATCACACAATCACCTGTAAATAGTGGGGTTTTTTTGGTCCTATAAGCCCATATTGTTATTGGTCCTAGAAAATCATGTGACCATACCACCTGGTACTGGAATCCATTTTGAACCTGACATTTTTTCCATAGGAATGGGGGATGCCAAACAAAAGAGTACCACCCTCAGGGAAAGTCTATTTAAGCAATGGGAAGCAGCCAGCTTTGTCTTCTGCTGGCTTTTGAAACTGCCTGCCACATCCTATGCAGATACAAAGAACTCTGAAGAAGCTGTAGACTCAAGTCAGAGTAAAAGATCAACTCTGATTTGAAGCTTTTACCTGAATTAAGAAGAGCTGTTTAGGGTAAGAATTCTCAGGTAACAAGTCTCTTAGTGGACGAGAACTGGCTATATGTTTTCTATTAATTTTAATTTATTTGATCTGAGTGTTTTCACTTGCAACCATTTGAATCCTACTTTTTGTACTTATTAAAAACTCTTTTGCTTATTATCAAGCCCAGTGTAAATAATTGTTACCTGGGGGAAAAGGTAAAGCAACCACTGTGCATATCTTTCTTTCACTGATAAAGTGAGCCAAACTTATGAGCTTTCTCTGTGTAAATCTTTTCTAACAAGGCAAGATGGATTTATTTGGGACTGGATTCCTAGGTATTGAGCCTTTATAGCTGAGCCCTCTTGGAGCTGAACTGAGTGAAGTTTGCGCTGCTCTGTGTGTGTGGGGGGAGAGGAAACCCCAATTCTGTGCCTTTTCTGGGGAGACTAGAGGTTCTAGTCCAGCAGGACAGGGTAGTGGGGGGCCCCAGAGAATAGGCAGGTGGATCTCAGTGGCATGATCAGCACACCAGGGGGTCAACCTAAGGGGACTTTTGAGATTTCACCCCATCACAGTGCTCAATATATGTTAATGCAATTCT